TGGTTTTTATATCGTGCGTCGTACGTATATTAGTATTAATATTATTATTATTATTATTATTATCACGAGGTAGGCACAGGGGGAGAATGAAATCACACGAACGACTCGAAGGGAATCGACGAAGGAAGCTCACGTTTCACGTTGGTTGTTGCACGATTATTGTCCTTGTGCATGCCATCTAAGGATTTTCTCTCACGTTTCTATCAAACTGGCGTCGTTCCTCTCGCGATTTTCTCCTCTTTCGTCCACCGTGGATACTCCTCGCGATTGCGTGTGACATAAAGCCTCGTAACACACAGCTGACGAGTTGGTGTGCTTCTTAAAACGTAGGTAAAAATGTTAACGTCGATCCTACTAAATCGCCAGCATCGTTTGCATAGCCAGTCATGCTACACACACACACTCTCTTTCTCTCTCTCTTTCTCGTACACACCACACACACACACACTCTCTCTCTCTCTTTCTCGTACACACCACACACACACACACACACACTCTCTCTCTCTCTCTTTCTCTCTTCAACTCGAATGCTCGTGTCACCGTCGTCCCTGTAACTCTCGAGCGTATATCGTTCAAGATGTAAAGTAGAGGGGACACGGTTACAACCGCTACGAGCCTAACGTCTCTCTTCTTTTCCCCTGACGAGAGAGTTACGCGAGAATCGACGTCGATAAAGACGAATTATCCGTGTGTGTAGAGTGTGTATGTCGCGCGCGCGCGCGCGTGTGTGTGTGGTAAGCGCGGAACACGGGTATTAAAATCGTTCTGGAAAATTATTTCGAGGTGACGGTCCGCTGATTATACCGGCGGTGTTCGCATGAACGTGGACAACAGACGTGTGGACGGTGGTGAAAAGAACGAACAATTTTCGGAGCCATGTAGCTTCGATTTTTCTCGTAGCCTCTCTCCCTCTTTCGTTTCTTCCCTCCTCTCCAACTTGGCTATTTTTTCTTGACCCCGTTGATCAGAGACACGTTGTTTCTTCTTCTTCTTCTTCTCACTCCTCCAGCCCGCGTTGGGGCTTTCGGGATATATGTGCTTCTCTTCTCGTTCGTCGAATTCCCCTCTCTGTTAGTCTCGATTCTTGAAATGCGTGCGTTATTTCAAATCTCGCGCAAAATTCTTCCCTCTTCTTCTTCTTCTTCTTCTTCTTCTTCTTCTTCTTCTTCTTCTGAATTACACACTCGGTCAACTAGACTCGACTCTCTCACAGTCGCTGGTACGTTCCGCTGAAGCAGACCTCTGTAGCAAACGCGCCCCGTGCATACGAACGTCAATATCCAACTGAAGAACCACCGTTGCGCGGTTATGCGCGCGCGCGCGCGCTTACGCACGCACTCCGAGGGAACAAACGGGACGGAGCGGACCCTGGAGCTTGGACGCTACGACAAAGCTTTGCACCGCTTTACAATCCCCGATTGGCCGTGGTAATTATGTGCATATGGCGCATACGCTCTACGCTCCGCTGTGTTACACTACCAACTGACTCGCGGCGGGCTCTCTTCCCCAACGGAACACACCGGATTGTGCAACGCGCTGCCTCGAGGAACACGACCGGAGTTACTATACCACTGGGCCAACTTCCTTCGAGGGAGAGAAAAATCGACGTAGAAACAAAAGGGGGAGTAGAGAAACTCGTTCCCCACGACGTACAATTTTGCTCGAGAGAAAAGCAGGACCAACTTCCTTCCTCTTCTTCCCTTTTCCTTTCTTCTATGTCTGGCTCTGTGTGTCTGTGTTTTTTTTTTTTTACAATGTTCAATGTTAAATACGTACATACACGTTTGGGGAGAGAAGGAAGGAGCGCGGGCGCGCGCGCGTGCGACACAAGTTGCACATCGATCTTCGTCGCAGCCAATCCCCGTCATTTTCGTCCGCCTCGATTGCCCCCTCCGCCCCCGGTGCAACACAGACATTTCCCTTCGCGTCTTTGCAAATAGAATTCGCCTTATTTTTCCCTACTTCCTCTACTTCGTTGGCTGTCTTGGACGCGATAGGCGAGCCTTCCGATTCCTAATCGATCCTTCTCCTCTACTCCTCGGTTTGCGCTCTTTTACTGACCTTCGACCCTCGAAAGAACCTCCCTCGAGGTTACCCACGATCGTTAACGTAGGTCAAGCGGCGTTGCATAATAGATAAATCATTGCGAGAGTTGGTGATAATAGTCGTAAATGACGGTATGATATTATTTACGTTGATTGTAAAGGGTGTGCGATTTAGGGAGGGGAATAGAAATAGAAAGTAGGAAATAGGTATACAAATGGTATCTAACGTTTATACTAGAAGCCCACCCTGACCTCTTTGGCCGATCTCGCCGCACATTTATAACCGTTCTTGTTATCATCCAGAGAGAGTTTATAAACAGTTGGTTGTGTTTGACGAGTGTTAGGCGAGCGTCTGTTGTAACGTTTACAACAGGGGGAAACGAATTCTTGAAATGTTGGTTAAAGTAAGGACGTGTCGCATGTCACGGAAACTGGCACGGAATTTTCGCAAGCCACTCTCGTGCAGAAATGACGAGGACAACCATTTATGCGAACCATCATCATCGACTCAATAACCGTGTTAAGGACGAATCGTGAACGAAGAAATCAATTTGTTTAATAAATACCTCCCGCGAACGAAACCGCCGCGGCTGATTTCGCGCGATCGTACGCAATTGCGACACGAATTACCGTTCGGTTGTCACGATTAATTCCCCCCTTTCTTGGTCGTCTATTTATAGTGAACCTACGAACCTACGATCATATTCCTCTTGTTAATACAGTCGAATGTACCTTTAACCCTTTCTCGTCCACAGACCAAATTATCTCGCGGACAGATTTTTCCACCGCGATATATCTCGCCACTCTGTTATACAATATTTACAAGTCAGTGTCGTTCGTGGAACGACGCGGATTCCTTCGTTTATATCGAGCCTGTAATTTCAGTTTTCACATGGTATTCCGTGCAGTTAGCAATGAAGGTCCAACGAATGAGAAATCGAATTATTTAACGATAGTGACAGCAACGACGATTTAGAGGCTATGTGACGTTAACAATAATAGGTAGTCCACATATATCTTATGTACTAGAGAGAGTTGTTGAATAGTAGAATAAAAAGACGTTCGAGAAATTTCATGGAATTCGTTAAGTAAGCAATTTCGTCCGTGGTATACGAAAGGGTTAAATCAATCTCATTTCCCTCCTCTGGAATATCTCACAGGTGAAGGATGACAATCGTGCTCGTTACGGTTCCAAGCGAACCATAGTGCAGCTATATTCCCTCTCGTAAAGTGTCTCACGTCACATCCTCATTCACGAACTTATTAATAACGAAGAGACATTGTTTACGCGCCATTAATTCCAAGCCATCTACGAACAGGGTAACGGCAGTTGCCAAAGGACCAAGTATATTCGCGCAGAGGGGACGATCTTCTCCCGTATGGCCACACTACGGCTACCTTGTACGACCAGAGGAGGAGGCGAATCGCGTTGTGTAAGTGTTCCACGATTATAGGATAGACGGTGAAAAAGATTCCGAGCATGATCGTAGAATAATTCCACTTACTATACGAAACGCGATTTAATATTCTCCGTCGGAATGTCATGCGCTTTTCGTGACCGAAGGTATTCACTTATTTGCATTTCCTGTACACCTCATAAACGTTATTTCGTCTAACGAGCATCCAGCTTACAAAATTCAACTTGATAAAAATAGACCCCGTATGAATAGAATCTGCTTTTACGATCGATTTGAGCGAGTTACAAGAGACAGACGTTCCGGCGTCGACGTTCGAACATTCTTACGTAAACATCAAATAATATTAGCGATGGCAACGGGACTGAAGAGGGTGAGAAACAGACGTAGAAAAGGGAGGAGACCAGCGGCGATGTCAGGGGAGGGTGAAACGAAGCGAGTTGCTTCAAGCAGCAAGATTTAACTACGTATATGCATACTGTATGTATTCGCAGGCGTACACATTGATCCTTAGATTCTAAGGGGGAGAACTTTCGACGTCTCTAAACTCGACGCAATAGATTGGCGAACGGCTGACCGACTGTTCTAGCATGGTCACTGCGGTAATGATCGGGTATAAAAAGAAAAATGCATTTGCACTTGTATCGCTTCCACGGACGGAAGGTATTGAAAAGAGACTTGATATGCGAATTCGCTTGATAAGAATGCGAGTGTTTGCATCGTCAGCGAAATTAACGGAACGATCAGACGCGCTATGGATATTGAGTCGAATCGAGTCGTGTCCAGCTGACTCGATGAGTACGTTTATTTATTCGATGATGCAGAACGTTGAGTCTGAAACAATCAAATTATTAAATTGCATAACGAACATGAGTTCTTTTCATTTTTCGTATTGCGTCATATAAGGTAAGACTGTACCTGAGGCCACCGAAACGATCCAGTCTATGTAGGCACCAACTCTGACATTTACACCGCCGTATAGAGCACAACCTCTGCCTAAGCTGATGATTCCTATCAGTACTAGTCGTCTAGACGTTGGATTTTCCCATAACACTGGCCCACCGCTATCCATCTACAGATCAAACAGTCTTAGTATTGCCACGTTAGCGGAAAATTTACCTAACCGATCGATCATTGTGATTTTCCTCTAATTCAAAGCGAAGTATACCTGACAGGAATCCTTCCCCTCGGCGTAGGTACAGATTTGATCTGTCGATACGTTCCCGTAGAATTTAGAACACTGTAGATGCGTGAGGACACTTAGGGTTACCTTCTGCAGTATATCAGACGGTGCTCCACCGAACTCCGTCGATCCCCAACCTAATTTTTCAACGTGAACGTTAATAAAATTTGGCGAAATATCAATTTTACGTAAGTCAAGCATGACCGGGTATCACACTAACCCAATACATTAACAAAACAACCGCCAAAAGTGTCTGGCGAATGTTGAAAAGGTAGACAAGCTGGCCCAACTTCGTTACCAAACTCTATCACCGTGTCTGTTTTCAACATGGCCACGTCGTTCATTCCGCCGGCTCCTACGTAATTAGGGTGAATAATGGCCCTCATCACCCGATGTAGCTTCGTGACATTCGTGTCTGTCCCTGAACATCAGAATTAGCCAAAGCACGAAACAAAAAAATATGAAAAATTTAGAATTAACATTTACCTGTACTCAAGTCGTAATCACCCACCAGGATACCCAATTGATCAACCTTTCGTTCGTGGATACAATGTCCCGCTGTCACTACGTATCTAGAGGATACTATGGTGCCTCCACAAAACACGTTTCGATTTATAGAGTCCACGATACCTGCCATCATCGGAAATTCATTCACCCCCGTGTTTGTTCCACCGACGATTCTAGTCTAATAATAGTCAATAAGATGTTTTATTTATTTGGAAAAATTTGATTGAATTAAAACAAAAAAAATGGCATACAGGATTCTTCCATCCACATCGACAATTCTCAACATCCTGTGGCCTCTTCACTGCCCTAGCTTCGCACAAAAATCGACCACCAGTCGACCAGGTTGGTACTGTCAGTTTCACGGTCATCGAGCTTGAGTCCGATAGTAGACTAAACTGTCCATCGCCACAATATTGATGCGTAGTTTTCGAACTGACTTGAACGGATAGTCTGTCAGCGCTGCAGTTGTTACTCTGTGAAAATCATTTGCTAATTCTAACCACTCTTGACAGTTATTATTCTTTCAATAGGAACTTTGCTTTTACCCATGGCAACTGAGTGGTGCAGGTCAAGTTAACGCGGTAGTCAGTCATCATTGTCCACATGCATGATCGTGGACCTTGATACGAGTACGGGTACTCGGGATTGTAAACGAAATACGTTGTCGCAGCAGTCAGATCCTGATAATAATTGCACCCAACATCCACAGCATCACTGAACTTGGTCAGAGACACGAGCCAACAGAGCAACAATAACGTCGCTGCAAAATAATCAAATTCGTTTCGTGAATCATCTCAAGAGAAACGTATTTTTTATTTACAGTATCAAAGGCATGAATAACAAATTTAACCGCGAATACTATTTTAAGACACGTGTTCCAGATATGACATAAATCATGATACATTGCTGTGATATAATCTGTGCTCCTCGGAAATAAAGGTTCTTCTCCATACAAACACGTGTACGATATAAGCGCGAATTTTTTCAAAAGTTCTAACGTTCCCCGCTTGAGAACTTCTGTCGAATACGAGATACATTATGTGTACCTTTGAACATGATACCGTGGCGCGCAACAGTATTGTTTACGAGAAGAAGTATTCAACCGGAACGACACGACGCAATCGCGGATGCAAAATTTTCGAATAAATAACCGTAACCATCTGCCTGCATTCGTACGAATTCCGACGTTTTTATCCACATCGCAAAGACGAGTTAAGGCGAAGCCTAATCATTTGTGGGTGCTATCACGAGGGCTTATCACAGGTAGTTGTAACCTCGAGAATAAAAGTGAATTTACGACAGCTAATAACTTTGCATCGTCTACAAACGAAATCCCTCCCCTCGATTTTAATATTCGTTTTCCTTTCTTTCACAAAACCCATGTATTTTGTGTTTTTCCTTTCTAATCGATATAGGATAATATCGTTTTCATCGTTATTAGCACGAGTGTGCTCGTATTGTATTTTTCCGCGTACGATATCCAAGATATTGATATCTTTTAATTGGAAAGCGTACGAGTCATGATTTGTTTTGTATTTCTTGATAATTTATCGTCAAATAATGACAGATGGTGAGACGTTATTGCTTAAACTTTTTCTACGATAATTCGTTTTATGAATTCTCTGAATGAGATTTGACATATTTTTCTTTTTTATTAATCTTACAACGCAAAATAAAAAAAATATTTTCCGCGTGTTTAATATGCGTCGTATATTTTTTCATCCCTTCCATATGTTTCTGCATTCTTGAAAAAGCTATAATTTGTAGAAAATTTTAGATATTGAATAAGTTGAAAATGTTGTTAAAAAAGAAAACAGTTATGTAACAAAAACCATTTTCCTTGTAGAATTATATTTTTGTTTTTTAATTGGTGTAGATACAGATATAATGTGAAACGAACGAGGACATTAAGAGCTTGATACTGACTGACAATTGACAATTAAAATTGATAATGGTAATTATGTCTTGGCTTACTGTAGAAGAATAAGATTATATGTAAGTAAAAAATATGTCACAGAAAGTGTTTTAATAAAGCAAATTTTCATACGGTGTGTGACGCAACGTACATATATAAAGTATATTGTAATGTAAAGGTTATCTCAAATAAAATTTTATCGCGATCTTAAATGTTTTAATGACTTGGAAATAAAAGAATGTGGATTATAATCCACTTTAATCTATTAAGCTGCCTTGGTAGATAAGTAGATAAATAAATGGATAGCAAGGGAAGAAAGGAAAATTGAATGGAACACCATCTGGTGAGTGCCTTTAGTACATTTAGTGATTCAGTAATAGTTACTATGACGATGGATGGAGTACACACTTGGAAATTAATAAAAATATGTACGGGTGTACAGATGCACACGTGCATATTCTCATTAAATAAATTTGTGATGCATTTACTTTGCAATGTTAGCGACTGTTATCGCGTTTACAAATGTTTAGAATATTCTTGACCGCGTAACGGCGTAGACTTGCATTGTGTCCAATTTATAAAAAACAACAATGGCCAGCTATGACAGTAGCATTGAACAAGAAAAAAAGAAGGTAACTTTTTTTAACAATGCAATTCACTGAATGCACTTATAATTAAAATAAGACGTTTTATAAATTCTTTACATGACCATAACCTCATTCTTTTTGTTTACATCATAGTATAGTAGTAGAAGGACTACGGGTACAAAGAGTAGTCAAGATATAGCTTATAAGCCAGTTTGTCGTCGCAGGCGAAAAACAAAACATACACTGAAAGCTTACAATGTACATAAGGATCAAACAGATTATGTGACAGATGATGGTAGAAATGATTGTGAAGATGAAATATCTTTGAGTTGTAAAAGTAAACAGTATGAACATGAAAAAGGTAGGAGGTTAAGTGAAGGAAATAATACCCCAAAGGAAACATTTGTTGAAGGTGATGCAAATTTAAATAATACAATCTATAGGGTGCAATATAATTTTTTATCTGCATGAATGATAATCAAAATTTTATATTTTATCATTGCAGGTATTATTTCATCAAGAGTGAAGGACAAGCATGTTTCAAAGGATGCATTAAGAATAGCTAATGAATATCATAAATTAGAAAAACGTTATAAAAACATTCAAGAAGAATGTCAAAAGTTAGGTAGTTTATTAGAGCAAAGAGAATTGGAGTATAGAAGGGTATGTTCACACTATGAAGCATTGATGCAAATGGTTCAGGAACTAGAGGAAGCAAAAGTTGTTTTAGCCAAGCAAAATCAGAAATTAGAAACAGAGAAGGTTCAGTCAAATGAAGATATAACACTTTTAAAAAGTATTGTTTATCAGTTAAATACCGAATTAGAGAGATATCAAGACAAATTAAGAGACCCAAAGCATGAAAATGTTTCTGTACATGTGGGAAGTAGAGAACAAAAATATGATGATAGGGTTTGGGGAGGTATTAAGTTTCATGCATTAGGTCCACTTTTGAATGCCTATCAAGAAAATTTATCAGAAAAACAAGAGCTGGTACACATGTATGAAGGGGAAATGGCTGATTTTGGAAGCAGATGCAAGGAAATCCTTACAGAAAATGAGCTTATGCACAAAGAAGTGGAAGAATTGAGATCAGAGGTAAATAATCATTACTGCATGGGTAAATACATAAAAAGTATGTTTCTTTATTTATTAAAAAAAATTACAGTGTGATAGATATGCAAAAGACATTAAAACATTGGTTGAAAATACTGCATCGCTAAAAAAACATCACGATATTCTAAAAAAAGAAACTGTTGATATAAAAAGAGAAGCTAATGATATTCGTTCGTCGTACGAATTAAAAATGGAAGTTATCTTAAGGCGTAATGAATTGTTAAAAAAGGAGCATACGACCATCGCGACAGAATTGAGCAACCTTCGAGGGAAGTATGAAATTCTAAACAAAGAATTTGAAAAAGTAAAAAGTAAAGAACAACAAACAGTGCCTACTATTGTTCATACTACCGCGATTGAAGAATGTAAGACGTTGTTAGACGAATTAAAATGTCAATATGAAAATGAAAAACGAAATCTTTGTAATCATATAAAACGTATAGAAGAGATTCAGCCGGAGAATGAGAAACAGCTCATAATGGTTATAGCCGAAAGGAATCATTTAAAGGGTCTTGTTGAAAATCATGAAACAAATTTGAAGTAAGTTATATACTTACGTTTTTTAAAATAATTTTTATATATTTAATTTACACATAACGTATACATAGATTGTTTCCAGACGTACGCAACGTAAAATTGAGCAATTGCAAACACTTGTTTGCTCGACTCGTGTGTCACGTAATTCTTTGAAGGAGCAATTAGGCAAAGCGACTACCTATTGCGAAGAATTATTTTCGGAGTATGAAAGAATTGTTTCAGACCGGGAAAAATTGCTCACTCTTTTACGTGAAACGGAAAAAGAAAATGCTAATATGGATCGTCTTGGAAAAAATATTACTAGTCGTATGGAGGGTTTAAAAAAGCAACTAGAAGTACGTGTAAAGTATTTTCATTATTATTAGAGAGACAGTATAAATTATAAATAATTTATAATTTCAGATTGTTCGAAAAGGTACGAAACAGCAAGTAGACTCTGTTGAAAAACGTGTCAAGTTACAAGAACTTCAAATGCGTCGGATGAAAAGCGACTATCGTAGTAAAATAGAACATTTAAATAACATAATTAAACAGAAAGAAGCTATTATTGAAAAGTTACAGCCTATGAACGATGAGAAATCTAGGAAGTTGCAAGATTGAGATGAAAAATTTCCAATTGACGGAATCAGCTACAAAAAGACGGCAGCACGTTATAAAACGCGTGATAAAATTCATAACAGATTGGACTTTGAAACTGATTTTCAACGAATCTCTTAATAAGCATCTAATTATGGAATAGGTGCTACTCGAGAAACATCGTCCCCATATTTACCGGTCGTGTCAGTGGCTTTATTTAGCGGTGACATCAAATGAAACAAGTGGCTACGAAGGCTACCGTTTCGCCACCATATGAACGACCGATGCTAGTGGAGACTGTACTAATCTCACGGTGAAATGTTGATGTCATCCGTTCTAGGAATGATGTCAGACGCGTTCCATTCATTCATATGTAAAATATACCTGTTTCAACCTGAAGTATTTAATAGAGTTCAATAATAAGCCTAAGTATTGACAGTATCCTGATATTTCAATAACCCGGTAACACGACACATATCCAAGGGATTAGCTATTTTAAATTAATCTTAAATAATTTTAAAAAGGTACATTCAGAAATGAACTTCCTTCCTTTTGTATTCCTGTTTGCGTTTCCTATGTTTGCACCACTGTTTGTTTAGAAATTCGTGTACGAGTGTCATTTCCCAACTTTCACAAATCTACATTTCAAAGGAAAAAAGAACACGTGTTAAAACTGTAAAGGGTAAAAAGCAAGTAAATGATTTGTGTTTGAGTAAGAAAAAGTGGTGTTTGAGTATAACTCGCGTAACGAAGGGTGGTGGAGCGGCCACGGAGCGGCGTTGCGAATCGAGACAGCTGCCGATTCAGTTCTGTCGCCAAAGTTCGGAGACTCTCGACGGACTTCGGACGCGTTCGTCAAAAGCAAAATGTCGTCTGCTAGGCGCGTCGTCAGGAACCGGGTCGTATTTCTAACGCGAAAATTGCTATGATAAGTGATAATGCGATGTCTCTGCACACGAGTACGTAGTGGTTTTTGTTGGAAGGTGTATCGGAAATCACGAAAGGATATTCTCCGAATCGGGCTGTCCCGTTGCCGACAAAGAAACTCGGCGAGAATACCGGTGAACATTGATTTTTCCTGCTTTCGCATCCTACTCGACAGATGATCAAGACGGTAATGCACATCCTTCGTATTCTTTCGATTCGTTGCTATTACAATGTCTTCAATGACTTTGTACCTTTAATAGCGTAGATAGATTAAAATGAGATAGGATATCGGTTTGTACGTATCGTATTGCGTCGGATTAATCGTTTGTTTAATACATCGAAACTGATATGTTCGAATGAATCACAGTTATATTTCATTATTTTTGGTGAGACGGTTATCTTGATTAGTCAGTTGCGGGAATTTCTTTCGCAGATGTCGCTGACTCTTAATATCACATATTGGCTCCGTATATCTTTTATGTTTGGAGTAGGAATCCTCAGAATTTCATGATAACGTTTGAGGGTATCGTGCACATTCTCGCGATGCGCAAACTCAAAGAATTTAGTGTCATTCCGTCGAACACACAACCGACTGCATTCTCGTTACGTTTTCAGAACGGTTAGGTTAGGTTTATAACTCCAATCAGGTTATATCTTTTGTTTCATTCAGCAGGCGATGGTTCAAAATACAAATGTTTTCGAGTGTCTGGTTTATTCAGCGGTCGAACATACGAAAGTACTTTGTTGTGATCTTCGCGTTTGGATAATTCTAAATTTGACTTAACAGAACAAATGGAGAAAGGGGAAGAAGAAAAAAAGTTACTTCGCCTGGTCGCGTGCGCGTAAACTGAAGCCTTTTCAGCCGCGAATATAGAACGGATGTCCGTATTTTTTCGTTCGAGGTGAACAAGCAAATAAACGAACCAGCCAAGTGTTTAGCTTGCGAGAATATTTCGGCGTGTACGAATCTTTCGATTTATAAACACAGAAACATGCATTTCGAAAGGAGAAGAATCATTGTGTTTTTCGAATAGGGATAGAAACATTGTTCGAAGACAGTAAAACACGAAGGCTAAATACGTTTATTGCAAGCGTAGATACGTGCAAGCTAGTCCCGTTTTGAAAGTAGAACGATGATCTGTACGTCGAAGAATTTACGCATGTTTCAATTTTTTTTAACGCCGCTTGAGAATTAGTTCGACTTGATATGTTACCACATCCGCTTCCGGTTCTTTGTATCGGATCTCACTCGATCTATCGCATGTACCGTTGACGTTCGCATTTTAACACGTACATAAATCGAACGAGAAACGCGCTATACATTTTTATTATAACAATGAAATTTCTTGATATTTCGAGCGTCCTTAGAAAGCGCAATAAGGCAGGAAACATTGCTTTCCCCGCAGCCGTGAGTCATAATTCGATTACTAAAATATTAATGCAACATCGTTCGCCCTTTCTCCTGAATATACGCACGTCACAGTGTATATCGTTTCGAAAACCAAACATTCTCTCATAATTCTCAATTAAATTCCTTAAAAAAAAAATTAGAAAAAAAGAGAGAGAGAGGAAGAAACAAAATTGTTTTCTATTTGATATTTATAGAATGTTACTAAAAGGGAAGAGTATCGAGGACAGCGAGGGCGGTGGAACTAGACCAAGGTATTTCGACGATTGAAACACCGAAAGAATCTACAGTTTCGTGGCAAAGGTCTTAAACGTACAGCAACGAGGGGAATTCGAGGCCGTGGGGCTGAGGTCGAGCCTGACCTAACCGTATTTTCAGCCAAATCTAACCTGACCTAAGCGCCGCTGACGACAAAGATACGAAACATCGCCGATTATCGGCGTTGTGCAGGAAACGCGTTACGTTTTCTTCGTTCTCAAGAGACTATATCAATTGTTCTCCATCGTTAAGTCATCGGCCGAGCATAATCGTCAAAAGAACGCCAAACGCATCGGTATACGCTTTCCCTGTTCGTCGTCTCCTTGCCACCTCTCTTCCTTCCGTTCCGCCGGTGTGCAGTTCGTGCACTTCTACGCAGCGGTACACTGCTCTACCCTAGAGCAGCGTCGAGTACGGTAAATAAACGGCGCGGCATGCTGGACTCGTGTTCCACGTGCTTTCCATTCGACTGAAACTATTTTCAACCGCGACAAAAAAAAAACCTTCGATTTCGTCAGAGAAGAGAAGAGAGGGAGAGAGAGAAGTGTTTTTATAGATCTATACAATACACGGGGGAGGAAGAGAGCAGGAACAAGGATGTCGTATCTAATATCGCGTGCAAAGTTGCCAGCTGCCCGCTGTCGATAACACGACGGCTAGTTTGGTGCACTATTCGTCACTGCTCGCGGAACGCTATTCAACGAGAAGACGACGTAACACTGCCGGCCTGGCAGTTGTGTCGCGGTTGTGAAATTGCCTTAGTGGTTGTGAAACACAAGTGTCCCGAGGGCGAGGGGAACGAGGGCCGTTAACGAATATGGTGTAAAAAAAAGAAAAAGAGTTTTCAAGTGAAGAATTTTTAGATAATGGAGTTCGAGTTGGACGGAAGCCTGAAGGAATGGGTAAAGGACAAACCGTTGAGCATCCTGCAGCTGGATCCTGCTGACAGAGCCGTATTACGGATCGCCGGTAAGTGTCGATTGCCTTGCGTTTCTAGTTTCCGTTTTCATAAGCCGGTTACGTACCTAAAATTCTTCGAGTCGTGTATATACTCGCCTTCCGCCTTTCGTTTTCGTTCGAAGCCACGATTACAGCGTGTATTATTATTATTACTCGTATATCGCTTGTTATTCTGTTGAAATTTCAAATGAAAAAAAAAACAAAGACCTTTATCTCTCGGTTTCGACGCAGAAAACACATCAAGTGCTGCATAAACTGGCTGCGTTAAGCGAGATTCGTCGATCAATTGCAAAATAGGCGTCGTTACTCGCACGAGTGTGCTAAAGTACGTTCGACGATGGTGACGCTTGTTGTGCTGCTACAACACACGCGAGTATCGTTATAATTGACGGTGCGTACGTAATCGACCAGAACGCTAGCGCATAATCAGTCGTGAATTAATCACAATACCGGCTATCAATCATTTACTCTCATTTTTCGTCTCCGATTGTTATTATTTGAGAAGGCCTACCGATTAGTCATTTATAATGGCATTGAATCAATAACGTCGTTCGTAACAGATGAAACTTTTTTTTGACCCTCGTATTATTTAGACCCCTGCTGTGTTCACACTGTCGAATGCCCCGTATCGATCCTATCGATTCGCGTAGACAGGGGTTTCGTGAAATGCGGAAAGGCACTTAATAGTCGTTGTACGAGACTGTAGAGCGTGCTGCATCGACTGGCTCGATTCGAAAACTTAGTATACGTATATAAGAAAACGAACTGGTATAAAGAAATTAGCCGCGCTGGTAAATTCTTGCGATGTAGGAAACGAGAATCGTTTGCGGTACAATCTTGCGCGGCGACCTTCGATGAGGGGTGCTGACCAGGAATAGATACTCGAAACCATTCGATAAATATCGGATTGCAGATTGACGATCATCTTACCGTGAGAATTTTTTCACTTCTGTAGTTGCATGCCTTTATTACGAGTCGTTTTTCGCGATACTTTGATCATCCCGTGAATCGAACATCTGCTGCATACTTGAAAATCTCTCGATATGTTTTTTCACGTGTTTATCGTCGACCGTATAGGTTAGGTTTCGGAAATGAAATTTTCACTGGCCGAGAAACGATACTTTTCGATTCGATAGTCGGCTGAACATTAAGAATTCCGTACTATTTCTAGTTTTCTATAATTAAATATTTCAGTGGAATTTTTGAAAGTTTCAGCGAATCTCGTAATTTTTCTACGACGCGAAAGGCTTCAAAGAGGCCTCTTTCGCGATCGATTCGACTCTTCTGGCTTTTTTCTAACGTATAGTATAGGACATAGGATGAACAGCGTATGCATGTAGGACACGTCCGATTCGTGAAATTACAGGCTCTGATTCACGTTCACAAAGCTGCAGCGTGCGTGCTCGGTTCCGCACCATTTTCGCGCAACGTCGTTAAAAATGGTCCGATCGACGTAACGTAATCGGTCTCGTAATAAACCGTGTACCGTGCAGTCGATATCGAAGTATCGCATCTTAGGCGCGTGAACGTAATTGTTTCTAATTATAACGACCTATCGGTGCGATATGAATGCTCTATTAACCGTTGCTCCATCACACACAATCAACGTCTCGATTATCTCGATTGCTTCTGTCTCGCGAGACTCCGGCGTTTTGCCCCCTGTCGGCTAATTTACGCGTTTCTCAGAACTCGAATAAAATCTCGACCGTTGCAATTCATGACCGTTCACCATGTTCCACCACTGTGAGGGGAACGATGAATGAAAACACTTGTGTCGTGATCAAAGAGGCAGACAAGCGACTAACGTGCAACGATTCAACCTCGTCGTCGTCGTCACGTCGATGAACTCACGGCCGGTGCTTTTTACAGCGGTCACGGTCCATGGAATCTTCGTCAGAGAGGTTATGCCAGTTCGCTATTGCCTACGCGGCGAGTAGGGAGCGGAGGCGGCAGGTTAGGTCGGCTCGCATTAATCTAGGAGCGTGGAGGCGGCAACAGGTGCTAGGGTCACGGTTCGATGCCCCAGCCTCGAGAACGTCTTCTTTCCCCTTCCTTCTTTTTCTTCGCTGTTGCCTCTTTTTTCCTTAGTTTCTTTTTTTTTTTACTTCCTCATTACTTCTTTTTTTGCGCAGACTCGTCTCGTTTGGGACGCGGAAAGGGGGTTGTAATTGATCCTTTGACTCTTTAGAAGCCATTTCAGTTCGAAAATTGAGGTATAGGTCAAATTATGTTACAGCTAGTCGTTTTGTTAACGTTTCCGCCGCCATATTAAATTCCATATTAGTATCACGTAAGAATGTACGCAGGGGTGTCATAATTTATACGTAACTAAGAATTGTACTTTTCAACTATGATTTTATTAAATACAGTAAAGAAAAAACTAAGTGTAATTATATGTTCACTGACATAACCTATTTTTTAATCGGACTTCGTATTATCATATACAGTTACTTAACGGAATATAGATCCAATTAATTACTTAGTCAAAGTGTGAATGTTTTACGTAATTGTGCAAGAGTATTTCAAGAATATTCACTGGGAAGCAACGTGTACAGGACGTTTCAAAAATTGAGGAATGAAAATTTCGGACAGACGCATACAACGATGCACCTGTTAGCCAAACGATTGTCGCGAAGTCTGCTTTACTTTGCCATAGATCAGGCTTCACGAACTGCTCGCTAGATGTCCCGGGGTACCTGAAGTACCTGAAGAGGTCGGTGCATCCGCGTTTCATCCCGCGCTTTTTCGCGAGGAGCTTTCGGAACGAGTATATAAAGTGCTCGGTATAAGGAACAAGTGTCTCTCAAGGTGAGAGTGTAGACGCGGCTTAATTAACCACATGGAACTAATTCACCCTCCCGGTAATCAGAGGGGTATTCCCCCTTACTTTTCTTTTCACTCACCTGCTTCAGGAACTTTCTTTATCAAACGCTCTCCTCTCCTTCGATTAATATCGTCTTTCTGCAGCGAGAAAGACTTCGTATGGGTCATCTTCTTCTCCTTCGCCACTGGACCACGCGGGGTCCAATCGAACGAATGCGGCGGTCACGGTCAGACTAAATTCTCACGGGTGAATCCCCGTTTTAATATACATTTGGTGGAGCAATCTTTTGATCGAGGTACAGTTAGGAATTCGCTTGAACTTGCCAACGGGGCTGAAGCAATCGAAAAAAAAGGAAGGAAAGAGGAGAAGAAAAAAATCAAAGTAACAGAAAAAAATTTTATCAGGTGGGATTCAGGTCAGGAGAAGGGGAGGAGGGGGATGTTGAACCGCTGCTTGAAACTCATCGAATATGGAACAGACATTACTAAATAACGTTAGGCGGTTAGAATTATCTTCTTAGCGACGATTGTCTGCTTTAAAGTCGGCGACTAGCCGTGTGATAGCTCGTGTCGAAGGGAATCTTCTTTGCATATCAATTCTCGACGAACGTTCGCTGCTTGGTAAATCCGGCCAGGATTATTCATTTACATGTAATAACATCATTTGCAACACGACACCGCGCATAATATCGACGGTAAGATGTGAATCATCTGGTGATACGGAAAATCGATGAAAGTGGAAGTTGTTGCGAGGAGGTTTGCATACTTGGATGCTTTCATATCCAGTTTGTGTATAGGGAAACTTAGATGTACATTGAAATTCAGATTATTCCGAGCCTTGCTGTATGTACCTGTTTCTACTGCAAGCTGTGTGCATATACCTCGCCAGAATTGAATTCTCTCCGGTTTGGTCACTCTCGGGTTAGCTGTGTCGTATTTAAACACATACAACTGGTTTCGGGTATCGATATACCCGGGGCTTGTGTAATTTTCGGTAGTTCGAAACGGTAAGTTGATATTACAGGTTGTCGAATAAACGAGGATTTCGATAGACGTGAATTATCATAAAAAAGTTGGTGAGAAACGGGACAGGCGTAGAAGAATTTGAATGGACAGTTACCCGTGGAGTCCTACTCTATTATCATTTTATCCATGCTTCTACCAACGGTACAACATTCAGTCG